TTTCGGGTCTGGACCCTGCTCCTCTGATGCTGCCTGGCCTGCTGTGTTCATCCAGCTCTTCACGTTGTTATCTTATTTGGCAAGAATACCTTTTCAAGGGGAAATCCAATAGCTATATGGATCAGAGGAAAGTGCTGATTCATTGGCAAGTGGACTTTATTAGGTAGAGACATTATAACAGAGAATGCACCCATTCTGCTGATTGACAGTTAACAGCCAGACGTTGTTTACATTTTAAAACAAGCAGGTTGACTCTGATTGGCCAAGGTATTTCCCTGAAAAATAACCCAGTGAATGGCTGGCACCTATTTTGTTGAAATTGAAATAGGTGCAGTGCCCGACTGACACTCATAAAGTGAGTTCAGGATTATCCAACAAATGTCACTTGTCAGCCAAAACCTGGATATTGTCCAGATCTTGTTGCATTTTAAAATGGACTGCTTCAGTATCTGAGGATCATGAATAGTGCTGAACATTGTACAATCATCAGCAAATATCCCACTTCTGACCATATGATGGAGGGAAGGTCATTGATGAAGCAGCTGAGGACAGTTCTGCTGAGGACACTACCCTGAGGAACTCCTGCAGAGATGTCCTGGAGCTGAGATGACTGACCACCAACAACCACGACCGTCTTCCTATGTGTCAGGTATGATTCCAACCACCAGAGAGTTTGCCCCTAATACACATTGATTCCAATTTTGCTGTTGGGCACACCTGGTCGAATGCAGTCTTGATGTCAAGGGCTGTCACTCTCACCTCCCCTCTGGAATTTAGCTCTTTTGCCCATGTTTGAACCAAGGCTGTAATGAGGTCAGGAGCTGAGTGGCCCTGACGGAACCCAAACTGGGCGTCACTGAGCAGGTTATTGCTGAGCAGGTGCTGCTTGATAGCGCTGTTACTGACACCTTCCATCACTTTACTGATGATTAACAGCAGATTGATGGGACTGTTAATGGCCATGTTGGATTTGTCCTGTGTTTTATGTACAGGACATACCTGGGCAATTTTCCACATTGTCGGGTAGATGCCAGTGTTATAATTGTACTGGAAAAGCTTGGCTAGGGAAGCGGCAAGTTCTGGAGCACAAGTCTTCAGTACTATTGCCGGAATGTTGTCAGGGCCCGTAGCCTTTGCAGTATCCAGTGTCTCCAATCGTTTCTTGATATCACGTAGAGTGAATCGAATTGGCTGAAGACTGGTATCTGTAATGCTGGGGACCACTGCAGGAGGCCGGGATGGATCATCCACTTGGCACTTCTGGCTGAAGATTGCTGTAATCTTTCTGCGCTATAATAACTGAATAACTCATCGACTTGTTGTTTGTGGCATTTAGCAGATGACAGACTTTCTCAGTCCTTACCTTCTTAACAGCAGTCACTGGACTTTAATCCACTGCACGCAAAGAACTTTAAATCTTTTCTGAAGTTTGAGAAGGTGCTACATTCCCACCAACTTTTTTTAAAAGTTCTTTTCAGTAATCACATCTAGATTATTCAAACTGAATCCCTTACCTCCCAGAAATTGCAGTATCTATAGTAAATAGTGCATTAAATATCTTACTCTGCAGAATATTGACCACCTGTGTTCTTCAATCTTAAATTAAAGAAGACACAGAGAGGTTACAAAAAGACATCAATAGGTTAAGGAGTGAAGAAAGATGTGGCAAATAGAATATAATCTGGTAAAGTTTGATGTTATCTGTTTTGGCAGGAAGAATAAAACAGAAGCTATTCAAATTGTGAGAGATTGCAGAACTCTGAAACGCAGAGGGAACTTAATGTCCTGTTTCATACGCAGGTGACTAGGAAATTTGTAATTTGTATGTTCATATGATCAATCATTATTTAAATTCCAAGATTTATTTGCTAAGCCAATCCAAAATGCCAACACCAAGAAAAGCATCACTGCTTGAGGTGGAGATTTACAGGATTTTTTCTAGTCAGTATAAACATTGGCTTCTGTTTTTTGGGAGTTCACACTGAGGTAACAGTTTGTTTGATATTCAGCAACAAAGTGGGTTGAGTCCTTTTCTGAGCATTGATTTACAAGTGCAATCAAGATTTGCAGTAGGCGATAAAAAGGGAGATCAGATAAGACAAATTCCAGGCAGCACAGCCGAGGGGAAGCTACAAGTGTAGGTTCCCAACTTCCAGGATAAATTTTAATGTAACAACGAGCAGACTTGCCTCTGTTATCAATGTAACTAATTGTGACAGTGATACTACTCACTTTAATGTGTTCCAGTCAATATAACCCTTTCTGTCTGGGTCAAACACCAAAAAGGCTTCCTTCAGTTCTTTATCTTGATTCTTTGATTTTTCATGATAATCTCCCATCAGCGCCAGGAAATTCTCACAGTTAAATGTTCCTTTCCCTGTTAAATGAACACCAGAACAATTGTGAACTTTCTTCTCCACACCTCACTAACTTGATTGAGTTTTTTGAAGAAGTAACAAAGAGGATTGAGAGGGCAGAGTGGTGGATGTGATCTATATAGACTTCAGTAATGGGTTCAACAAGGTTCATCATGGTAGACTGGTTACCAAGGTTAGATCATGTTGAATTACAGGGAGAACTGGCTATTTGGCTCAAAGGTAGAAGATAGAGGGGGGTGTGGATGAGGTTGTTGACTTGCTCGCCGAGCTGGCTTGTTCTTGTTCAGACATTTGTGTCACCAGGCTCGGTAACATCATCAGTGGAGCCTCTGATGAAGCAGTAATTCTACTTCGCTTGGAATTTACACTGTCCGGTCTGTTATAGTGAGTAGTGTCATTTCCGGTTTTGATCTGTATGGATTTGTATATGGGGTCCAATTCTATATGTTTGTTGATTGAAGTATGGGTAGAGGACCATGCCTCTAGGAATTCCCGTGTGTGTCTACGTTTGGCTTGGGCTCCTATGGTTACCTTGCCCCAGTTAAACTGATGGCCTTCATTGTCTGAGTATACCGATAAGAGTTCATCGTGCCGTTTTGCTGCTAGCTGATGTTCATGTATTCTGATGGCTAGTTTCCTTCCTGTCTGTCCGATGTAATGTTTGTGGCAGTCGTTCCATGGTATTTTGTAAACCACATAAGTGTTTGTAAGTGTTCTTGTAGGGATTAAAGACCCTATTCTCACAATATGCAGAACCAACATGGTTTACAAAATACCATGCAAATAATGCAATCAACAAACACATAGAATTGGACTCCATATACAAACCCATATAGATCAAAACCGGAAATGACACTACTCACCATAACAGATCGGACAGTGTAAATTCCAAATGGAGTAGAATAATATCGCTTCATTAGAGGTCTCACTGATGATGTTACCTAGCATGGTGACAAAACGCCTGAACGAGAACAAGCCAGCTCGGTGAGCAAGTCAACAACCTCACCCACAACTCAAGCTACAGATCTTTGCCAAAACTTTGGTGGTGGTGGATGTTATTTTTCAGACTGGAGGCCTGTGACCAGCGGTGTGCCACAAGGATCGGTGCTGGGTCCACTGCTTTTTGTCATTTATATAAATGATTTGGATGTGAACATAGGAGATACGGTTAGGAAGTTTGCAGATGACACCAAAATTGGAGGTGTAGTGGACAGTAAAGAAGGTTACTTCAGAGTACAACGGGATCTTGATCAGATTGGCCAATGGGCTGAGAAGTGGCAGATGGAATTTACTTCGATAAATGTGAGGTGCTGTTTTTTTGAAAGGCAAATCAGCTCAGGACTTATACACTTAATCGTAAGGTCCTGGGGAGTGTTGCTGAACAAAGAGACCTTGGAGTGTAGGTTCATAGCTCCTTAAAAGTGGAATCACAGGGAGACAGGATAGCGAATGTGTTTGGTTTGCTTGTCTTTGTTGGTCAGCGCATTGAGTATAGGTGTTGGGAGGTCATGTTGCTGCCGTACAGGACATTGGTTGGGTCACATTTGGAATACTGTGTTCAATTCTGGTCTCCCTGTTATTGGAAGGATGTTGTGAAACTTGAAACAGAAAAGATTTACAAGGATGTTGCCAGGATCAGAGAGTTTGAGCTAAAGGGAGATGCTGAATAGGCTGGGGCTATTTTCCCTGGAGTGTCAGAGGCTGAGGGCTGACCTTATAGAGGTTTATAAGATCATGAGGGGTATGGATAGGGTGAATAGACAAGGTCTTTTCCCCGGGGTGAGACAGTCCAAAAATAGAGGGCATAGGTTTAAGGTGAGAGGGGAAAGATTTAAAAGGGACCTAAGGGGCAACTTTTTCACACAGAGGGTGGTGTGTGTATGGAATGAGCTGCCAGAGGAAGTGGTGGAGGCTGGTACAATTACAACATTTAAAAGGCATCTGGATGGGTACATGAATAGGAAGGGTTTAGAGGGATATGGGCCAAATGCTGGCAAATGAGACTAGATTTATTTAGGATATTTATTCAGCGTGGACAAGTTGGACCCAAGGATATATTTCCATGCTGTACAGCTCTATGACTCTATGACTGTTTGACCTCTGTGACAAATGATTTCCTTTTTAATTTTCCTGGTGCTATTTCTATGGGTGGGGAGGTGATGGCCTAATGGTATTATTGCTGGACTGTTCCTAGAACCCCAGTATGAATCCTGCTGTGGTAAATGGTGGAATTTGAATTCAATAAAACATCCGGCAGTGGGAGTCTAATGATGACCGTGAAACCATTGCTTTTTGTTGGGGAAAAACTCATCTGGTTCATTAATGTCCTTTAGGGAAGGAAACTGCCATCCTTACCTGGTCTGGCCTACATGTGACTCCAGACCCATAGCAATGTGACTGACTCTTAGCTGCCTTCTGGGCAATTAGGTCTGGGCAATAAATGATGGCTAACTAGAGATGCCCACATCCTATGAATGAATAAAATATATTTAAATGTGAAGGCAATACATAGTCTCATGAGCTTTTACCATTGGTTGTTATCAGATGTGTCTGAAGGAAATGAACACTACCCTTTGAACCATGGATCCATTTTTATTTCCTGAAACATTTCCTTTCCTGGGGTGAAGGGGCTGATTGTAATCTTTCCCGCTGAGCCAGGCTGAGCTTGCAATAGCTTGAACTGCAGCTGAATCCCTCCGGTTACTACACCCTGGTGACTGACTGTTTTAATTCACTCACGGGAGCATTTATTGCCCACCCTTAATTCCCCTTCAGTAGCTTGCTCAGGCCATTTCTGAAGGCTGTTAATAGCCAGTCACTTTGCTGGATTACTGGGATTCTGGATTACTAAACCAGTGACCATACTACCTTCCCAACTCCCTACTGAGCCACTCAGAATTAAATATCTCCCAGGCAAATTAACAATTCAGATGAAACAGCACACATGTAGGTCTTTCTGCCCATCAATTCTGTGCTACCTCTGTCAAAGAGATATCCACTTATCTCTAGTCTACTAACTGTTCCCCCACAGGTTATGATTAATATTGCCCTGACTTTATTGGGCATTTATCTTTCTGATATTGACATTATTTCATTAAGAAATCAGTCCTTCCATCCTTTGGTCCAGACATCTCAGCAGGAACGCCAGAAAATGTTCTCACCCTCTTTATCCACGTCCTTGGCCATTTGTGCCAAATCACGTTTGGTTAAGTTAATTCCCAGCAGACTCATGAGTTTAGCGACATCAGCTGTTTTCACTAAGCCGTTCCCTTCTTCATCGAACATTTCAAACACGCCTTTGTACTCAGCCAGCAGCTCAGGTGTCAATGACTGGGAATGGCATAAAAGGAATGGAAAACAATTAGAAATGAAGATGAGAAAGTCACATGTGAATAAAACATTCAACAGCTGCTCAAAGTTTCTCAGCCCAGAATTTTAACTTGGAACCTCTGCCCTCCTTGCTCACCAAGAGGCCACACCCAGCAGTCTCTGTCTGTCAGGGTGAGATCTCCAGAAAGGCTCAGATTGCTCTTCAACTTTTCCATATTCCTATTAGAGAAGGAGCTGGCTCTACTCAGGAATGAGGAGGATGGAAACTCCAATGGGGCAAGCTGTGTGTTAAATCAGCAAGCCTCAGTAAATCCATTGAGTCCAAATGGGACCATCCGTGCTTCAAGTTGACAGTCAATGTTTCCAGGTGTTTCCTAACAATTCTGGTCACGTCTGGGGACAATTATCAGTCAGACCTCAGCCCCTTCCGCCCCGCCCTGCTCAATATCTCCATCCCACCCACATCCCTGACCCTGGGCCCCGGTCTGGCTCCTTATCATTCTATTGGCTGATGCAAACAGATCCACAACACAGAGTGCAGGCCTGTCAATATTCCTGTTGGGAAAAGGTAAGAAAAGCCTAGTGTTTGGGATTTAGCCGGAGGGACACTGAACCTTAGATTCATGATTACCGAGGGGATACATCACAAACCAACCATTCAGCCAACCCAGCTTAACCAACACCCAAGATCATCAGAGCTAGGAACAGGAGGAGGCCATTAACCCCTCGAGCCTGCTCCACCATTTGATACATTCATGGCTGATCTCATCACCGCCTCTACTCCATTTCCCTGCCCAATCTCTCAAACCATTCAACCCATTACTAATTGAAAATCTGTCTATCTCCTCCTTAAATTTACTCTATGCCTCAGCATCCACCACAATCTGGGGAGTGAATTCCACAGGTTCACAACCCTTTGAGAGAAATAATTCCTCCTCATCTCTGCTTTAAATCTGCTGCCCCTTAGCCTAAAGCTATGACCTCTCATTCTAGATTGCCCCACATGTGAAAATATCTTTTCTATGTCTACTTAGTCAATCCCTTTAGCATCTTATATACCTCAGTTAGATCTCTTCTCATTCTTCTAAACTCCAAATAGTTTAGGCCGAAACAGCTCAATCTCTCTTCATAAAACTAACCGCTCATCTCTGGAATCAATCCAGTGACCCTCCTCTTAACTGCATCCCTCCTCAGGTAAGGTGACCAACATTGTACATAATAAAGTTGAGGTTATAGTCAGATTGGCCATGATCTTATTGGATGGTGGATCAGGCTGGAAAGGTTACCTGGCCTACTCTTGCCCCTTGCTCATATGTTTGTTAACAGCACAGCAAGGAAAAGGAGAAAGTGGAGGAGCAGGGAAGCTGACGTTTTGGGTCTGGACCCTTCTTCAGACCTTTCTGAAGAAGTGTCCAGACCTGAAACGTCAGTTTTCCTGCTCCTCTGATGCTGCCTGGCCTGCTGTGTTCCTCCAGCTCCATACCTTGTTATTTCAGACTCCAGCATCAGCAATTCCTACTATCACCAAAGGAGAAAGTGGAGACTTGAGGAGGAGGAATGGGTGAGCAGAGATCGACAGGAAAAATGAGATCTGCAAGAGTTCTGTCATTTGATCACACACGTCTGTTTCACCCGCTGCTGCCGAAATCTGTTGTAGGGAACAAATTGTTGTCCTAGCTGTGATCAGTTCACCCAGGTCAGAACTGGTTCAGTTTTTAAGCTCATTTCAAGTTGTATAGAGACAATGGATTTATCAGTCAGAGTCTGGTAGGGAACCAGATTTGACCTTTTAACTTTATTGTTTAGATGCTTCCTCTCAAATTACTGAAAAGTCTGTTGTATTTAGTAACTCCATGAAAATACTGATGTGTTAAAATGTTTCCTAGTTGTTAGCCATATCAGGATTTTGTCCATCATTCACTTTGTTTCCTTGTTTACAGATTTTAAATCTTTAGCCTTTTGTATCTGGTGCAATGGTCTTGCTGAGAACAGAGTTAATCATTTCATTTCAAAACAATAATTAAACTCACAGCAGCAACACATTGTATATAATTGCATGTAATTATGGAAGACCCTTTTAGCCATACGTTTGGAAATGTTGGTTTTGACTACTGTTAATAGTATGAGGAAATAATTTCTTAGTGCCCACCACATTCACATCAAAATATCAGTTCCAACTGCACTTACCATCTTGCTGTCACTACAAGCCCAGCGATAGGAATCAAACTTGGTCTGCTGGTGACCTAGCCCAGTCAGAAAGCTGACACACCCTTCGCAGTTTGAATAGAGTAAGTCTATCAATGCCCCATGGATTTGAAAGTTAAAGCTGCCTTTTATGGTTTGACTGAGAGTTTCATTGGATCCTATTTCTGGATGGGATTAATTTTCTTAAGTGAGTTTTCATGTACTAATTTCTCCGTGATAAAAGATTAAATAAAGCTATATTGGAGTGTGATTAGCATTAAAACTATCATCACTGTTAAATAAATCAGCAATAGGCATTCAGGCCGAAATACCTTTTTGGAGTCTGCTCTAACATCTGCATTTGTTAATTCTCTTTAACAAACAGAAATGGTCTCTTCTGTTTTCCCAGGTGTGATCAGTTGACTCAGTGCACTTTCTTTTCCTCCCCTTTTGAGAAGTCCTTATTAAAAAATACTCTGAGCTACCTCACTTAATCACAGGAGGCAATGTCACTAAAGTGATAATCTGGAGGACCAGGCTAGTGACCTGAGGACATGGGTTCAAATCCCATATGGCACCTGGGCGACTTGAAGTGATACTAATAAGATCTGGAATTGAAAGTCTCAGTAATGGTGATTGTGAAACTATAATCCATTGTGATAAAAGCCCATCTGATTCATTCAGAGTTAGTAGGAACTGCAGATGCTGGAGAATCTGATATAACAAGGTGTAGAGCTGGATGAACACAGCAGGCCAAGCAGCATCAGAGGAGCAGGAAAGGGTCTGAAGAAGGGTCCAGACCCGAAACATCAGCTTTCCTGCTCCTCTG